GGCCAACCCAGTAGCCCCAACACTGGTGTGAGGCCCAAACCCAGTAGCCCAATCACTGGGTGTGAGGCCAACCCAGTAGCCCCAACACTGGGTGTTGAGGCCAACCCAGTAGCCCAACACTGGGTGTGAGGCCAACCCAGTAGCCCCAAAACACTGGGTGTGAGGCCAACCCAGTAGCCCAAACACGGGTGTGTGAGGCAAACCCCAGTAGCCCCAAAAACTGGGTGTGAGGCCAACCCAGTAGCCCCAACACTGGGTGTGAGGCCAAACCCAGTAGCCCCAACACTGGGGTGAGGCCACCCAGTAGCCCCAACACTGGGTGTGGGGCCCAAAACCAGTAGGCCCAAACACTGGGTGTGAGGCCCAACCCAGTAGCCCCAACACTGGGTGTGAGGCCAACCCAGTACCCCAAACCTGGGGGTGAGGCCAACCCAGTAGCCCCAACACTGGGTGTGAGGCCAAACCAGTAGCCCCCAACAACTGGGTGTGAGGCCAACCCAGTAGCCCCAACCTGGGTTGTGAGGCCAAACCCAGTACCCCAACACTGGGTGTGAGGCCAACCCAGTAGCCCAACACTGGGTGTGTGAGGCCAAACCTAGTAGCCCCAACACTGGGTGTGAGGCCAACCCAGTAGCCCCAACACTGGGTGTGAGGCCAACCCAATAGCCCCAACACTGGGTGTGAGGCCAACCCAGTAGCCCCAACACTGGGTGTGAGGCCAACCCGTAGCCCCAACACTGGGTGTGATGCCCAACCCAAAGTAGCCCCAACACTGGGTGTGATGCCAACCCAATAGCCCCAACACTGGGTGTGAGGCCAACCCAGTAGCCCAAACACTGGGTGTGAGGCCAACCCAGTAGCCCCAACAAGGGTGTGAGGCCACCCAGTGGGCCAAACACTGGGTGTGAGGCCAACCCAGTACCCCCCAACACTGGGTGTGAGGCCAACCCAGTAGCCCAAACACTGGGTGTGAGGCCAACCCAGAAGCCCCAACACTGGGTGTGAGGCCAACCCAGTAGCCCCAACACTGGGTGTGAGGCCAACCCAGTAGCCCCAACACTGGGTGTGAGGCCAACCCGAAGCCCCCAACACTGCGTGTGAGGCCAACCAGTAGCCCAAACACTGGGTGTGAGGCCAACCCAGTAGCCCCAACACTGGGTGTGAGGCCAACCCAGTAGCCCCATCACTGGGTGTGAGGCCAACCCAGAAGCCCCAACACTGGGTGTGAGGCCAACCCAGTAGCCCCAACACTGCGTGTGAGGCCAACCCAGTAGCCCAAACACTGGGTGTTAGGCCAACCCAGTAGCCCCAAAACTGGGTGTGAGGCCAACCCAGTAGCCCCAACACTGGGTGTGAGGCCAACCCAGTAGCCCCAACACTGGGTGTGAGGCCAACCCAGTAGCCCCAACACTGGGTGTGATGCGGTGACTCACAATGCTACGACACACACGCTGGCAGGTAAATAAGCGTGCCAATAGTTAGTTAAGCATTTTTCCCATGTGGTTAGCCAACCACAACTCTCCAACATAAAATGTACATATTCATCATATCTAATAATATAGCTAAGTCAAATATTAGTATAAAGTAAGATATTTTCATTTTAGCTAACAATGAAAACATCTCCACTATATAATTATTTTTTATTATTATTATCACACTGGCCGATTCCCACCAAGGCAGGGTGGCCCGAAAAAGAAAAACTTTCACCATCATTCACTCCATCACTGTCTTGCCAGAAGGGTGCTTTACACTACAGTTTTTAAACTGCAACATTAACACCCTTGTGTCCTTGTGTCCAGGTAAGGGTATGTAACACTTATAAACATGTAAGACTTCAGGTACGTCTTGCTACTTCTACTTACACTTAGGTCACAGTACGTAACACTTATAAACATGTAAGACTTCAGGTACGTCTTGCTACTTCTACTTACACTTAGGTCACAGTACGTAACACTTATAAACATGTAAGACTTCAGGTACGTCTTGCTACTTCACTTACACTTAGGTCACACTACACATACATGTACAAGCATATATATACACACCCCTCTGAGTTTTCTTCTATTTTCTTCATAGTTCTTGTTCTTGTGACCAGGCCTCCTGGTGGATCAGAGCCTGATCAACCAGGCTGTTGCTGCTGGCTGCACGCAAACCAACGTACGAGCCACAGCCCGGCTGATCAGGAACCGACTTTAGGTGCTTGTCCAGTGCCAGGTTGAAGACTGCCAGGGGTCTGTTGGTAATCCCCCTTATGTATGCTGGGAGGCAGTTGAACAGTCTCGGGCCCCTGACACTTATTGCATGGTCTCTTAACGTGCTAGTGACACCCCTGCTTTTCATTGGGGGGATGTTGCATCGTCTGCCAAGTCTTTTGCTTTCGTAGTGAGTGATTTTCGTGTGCAAGTTCGGTACTAGTCCCTCTAGGATTTTCCAGGAGTATGTAATCATGCATCTCTCCCGCCTGCGTTCCAGGGAATACAGGTTCAGGAACCTCAAGCGCTCCCAGTAATTGAGGTGTTTTATCTCCGTTATGCGCGCCGTGAAGGTTCTCTGTACTTTTCTAGGTCAGCAATTTCACCTGCCTTGAAATGTGCTGTTAGTGTGCAGCAATATATCCAGCCTAGATAGAAACAAGTGACCTGAAGAGTGTCATCATGGGCTTGGCCTCCCTAGTTTTGAAGGTTCTCATTATCCATCCTGTCATTTTTCTAGCAGATGCGATTGAAAACAATGTTATGGTCCTTGAAGGTGAAAATCCTCCGCCATGATCACTCCAGGTCTTTGACGTTGGTGTTTCGCTCTATTTTGTGGCCAGAATTTGTTTTGTACTCCTGATGAAGATTTAATTTCCTCGTGTTTACCATATCTGAGTAATTGAAATTTCTCATCGTTGAACTTCATATTGTTTCTGCAGCCCACTGAAAGATTGGGTTGATGTCCGCCTGGAGCCTTGCAGTGTCTGCAATGGAAGACACTGTCATGCAGATTAGGGTGTCATCTGCAAAGGAAGACACAGTGCTGTGGCTGACATCTTGTCTATGTCGATATGAGGATGAGGAACAAGATGGAGAGCGAGTACTGTGCCTTGTGGAACAGAGCTTTTCACCGTAGCTGCCTCGGACTTTACTCTGTTGACGACTACTCTCTGTGTTCTGTTAGTGAGGAAATTATAGATCCATCGACCGACTTTTCCTGTTATCCCTTTAGCACGCTTTTTTGTGCGCTATTACGCCATGGTCACACTTGTCGAAGGCTTTTGCAAATTCTGTATATATTACATCTGCATTCTTTTTATCTTCTAGTGCATTTAGGACCTTGTCGTAGTGATCCAATAGTTGAGACAGACAGGAGCGACCTGTTCTAAACCCATGTTGCCCTGGGTTGTGTAACTGATGGGTTTCTAGATGGGTGGTGATCTTGCTTCTTAGGACCCTTTCAAAGATTTTTATGATATGGGATGTTAGTGCTATCGGTCTGTAGTTCTTTGTTGTTGCTTTACTGCCCCCTTTGTGGAGTGGGGCTATGTCTGTTGTTTTTAGTAACTGTGGGACGACCCCCGTGTCCATGCTCCCTCTCCATAGGATGGAAAAGGCTCGTGATAGGGGCTTCTTGCAGTTCTTGATGAACACGGAGTTCCATGAGTCTGGCCCTGGGGCAGAGTGCATGGGCATGTTATTTATCGCTTGTTCGAAGTCATTTGGCGTCAGGATAACATCGGATAGGCTTGTGTTAACCAAATTTTGTGGCTCTCTCATAAAAAATTCATTTTGATCTTCGACTCTCAGTCTGGTTAGCGGCTTGCTAAAAACTGAGTCATATTGGGACTTGAGTAGCTCACTCATTTCCTTGCTGTCATCTGTGTAGGACCCATCTTGTTTAAGTAGGGGCCCAATACTGGATGTTGTTCTCGACTTTGATTTGGCATAGGAGAAGAAATACTTTGGGTTTCTTTGGCTTTTAGTTCTTCTCGCGATTCCTGACTCCTATAAGATTCCTTTAGCTTGAGTTCGATGCTTGCTATTTCTCTGACCAGTGTCTCCCTACGCATTTCAGATATATTGACCTCTTTTAGCCGCTCTGTTATTCTTTTCCGTCGCCTGTAAAGGGAGCGCCTGTCTCTTTCTATTTTACATCTACTCCTCCTTTTTCTTAGAGGAATAAGCCTTGTGCATACATCGAGTGCCACCAAGTTAATCTGTTCTAGGCATAAGTTGGGGTCTGTGTTGCTTAGTATATCTTCCCATTTTATATCGGTTAGGACTTGGTTTACTTGGTCCCACTTTATGTTTTTGTTATTGAAGTTGAATTTGGTGAATGCTCCCTCGTGACTAGTGTAGTTATAAACTGATAACAGTGAAGTTATAAACTGATAACAGTGAAGTTATAAACTGATAACAGTGAAGTTATAAACTGATAACAGTGAAGTTATCAACTGATAACAGTGAAGTTATAACCTGATAACAGTGAAGTTATAAACTGATAACAGTGAAGTTATAAACTGATAACAGTGAAGTTATAAACTGATAACAGTGAAGTTATAAACTGATAACAGTGAAGTTATAAACTGATAACAGTGAAGTTATAAACTTGTATCTTGTGTCATCCTCAGTAACGAAAGATTTACAATTTTTTTTTTCAGTGGTTCTCTTGGCAGCACCTCTACGACCATTACTACCACTACTGCTGCCATAACTACAACAACCTCCCCCACCACCACAACTACCACTACTGCTGCCATAACTACAACATCCTCCCCCACCACCACAACTACCACTACTGTCATAACTAAAACAACCTTCCCCACCACCACAACTACCACTGCTGCCATAACTACAACAATCTCCCAACCACCACAAACTACAACCTCCCCCCCCACCACAACTACAACCTCCCCCACCACCACTACTAAAACCTCCCCCACCACCACAGCTACAACCTCCCCCACCACCACAGCTACAACCTCCCCCACCACCACACTACAACCTCCCCACCACCACAACTCCAACCTCCCCCACCAACACACAACTCCAACCTCCCCCACCACCACAACTACAACCTCCCCCACCACCACAACTACCAACATCACAGTCAAGAATGCTGACAGCATTGCTACAACTCCAGGTAGGAATATTTAGTCATCATAAAAAAACCTGTTCATTTATGCTGGTCCATATTTAGTGTCTTAGAGAGACAATATGTATAAATGTACATGAAACTGATATGTCCTGTGATCCGTCACTGTCCACGTCATCAGTCACTGTCCACGTCATCAGTCACTGTCCACGTCATCAGTCACTGTCCACGTCATCAGTCACTGTCCACGTCATCAGTCACTGTCCACGTCATCAGTCACTGTCCACGTCATCAGTCACTGTCCACGTCATCAGTCACTGTCCACGTCATCAGTCACTGTCCACGTCATCAGTCACTGTCCACGTCATCAGTCACTGTCCACGCCATCAGTCACTGTCCACGTCATCCGTCACTGTCCACGTCATCAGTCACTGTCCACGTCATCAGTCACTGTCCACGTCATCAGTCACTGTCCACGTCATCCGTCACTGTCCACGTCATCCGTCACTGTCCACGTCATCAGTCACTGTCCACGTCATCAGTCACTGTCCACGTCATCAGCCACAACTGCTTACCTACATCCTGTGATCCGTCACTGTCCACGTCATCAGTCACTGTCCACGTCATCAGTCACAACTGATTACTTACATCCTGTGATTCGTCACTGTCCATGTCATCAGTCACAACTGCTTACTTACATCCTGTGATCCGTCACTGTCCATGTCATCAGTCACAACTGTTTACTTACATCCTGTGATCCGTCACTGTCCATGTCATCAGTCACAACTGTTTACTTACATCCTGTGATCCGTCACTGTCCATGTCATCAGTCACAACTGTTTACTTACATCCTGTGATCCGTCACTGTCCACGTCATCAGTCACTGTCCACGTCATCAGTCACTGTCCACGTCATCAGTCACAACTGATTACTTACATCCTGTGATCCGTCACTGTCCACGTCATCAGTCACTGTCCACGTCATCAGTCACTGTCCACGTCATCAGTCACAACTGATTACTTACATCCTGTGATCCGTCACTGTCCATGTCATCAGTCACAACTGATTACTTACATCCTGTGATCCGTCACTGTCCATGTCATCAGTCACAACTGCTTACATCCTGTGATCCGTCACTGTCCACATCATCCGTCACTGTCCACGTCATCAGTCACTGTCCACGTCATCAGTCACTGTCCACGTCATCAGTCACTGTCCACGTCATCAGTCACTGTCCACGTCATCAGTCACTGTCCACGTCATCAGTCACTGTCCACGTCATCAGTCACTGTCCACGTCATCAGTCACTGTCCACGTCATCCGTCACTGTCCACGTCATCAGTCACTGTCCACGTCATCAGTCACTGTCCACGTCATCAGTTACTGTCCACGTCATCAGTCACTGTCCACGTCATCAGTCACAACTGCTTACTTACATCCTGTGATCCGTCACTGTCCACGTCATCAGTCACTGTCCACGTCATCAGTCACTGTCCACGTCATCAGTCACTGTCCACGTCATCAGTCACTGTCCACGTCATCAGTCACTGTCCACGTCATCCGTCACTGTCCACGTCATCAGTCACTGTCCACGTCATCAGTCACTGTATACGTCATCAGTTACTGTCCACGTCATCAGTCACTGTCCACGTCATCAGTCACTGTCCACGTCATCAGTCACTGTGCACGTCATCAGTCACAACTGCTTACTTACATCCTGTGATCAGTCACTGTCCACGTCATCAGTCACTGTCCACGTCATCAGTCACTGTCCACGTCATCAGTCACTGTCCACGTCATCAGTCACTGTCCACGTCATCAGTCACTGTCCACGTCTCCGCCCACTGTCCACGTCATCAGTCACTGTCCCACATCATCAGTCACTGTCCACGTCATCAGTTACTGTCCACGTCATCAGTCCACTGTCCACGTCATCAGTCACTGTCCACGTCATCAGTCACTGTCCACGTCATCAGTCACTGTCCACGTCATCAGTCACTGTCCACGTCATCAGTCACTGTCCACGTCATCCGTCACTGTCCACGTCATCAGTCACTGTCCACGTCATCAGTCACTGTCCACGTCATCAGTTACTGTCCACGTCATCAGTCACTGTCCACGTCATCAGTCACTGTCCACGTCATCAGTCACTGTCCACGTCATCAGTCACTGTCCACGTCATCCGTCACTGTCCACGTCATCAGTCACTGTCCACGTCATCAGTCACTGTCCACGTCATCAGTTACTGTCCACGTCATCAGTCACTGTCCACGTCATCAGTCACTGTCCACGTCATCAGTCACTGTCCACGTCATCACTGTCCACGTCATCAGTCACTGTCCACGTCATCAGTCACTGTCCACGTCATCAGTTACTGTCCACGTCATCAGTCACTGTCCACGTCATCCGTCACTGTCCACGTCATCAGTCACTGTCCACGTCATCAGTCACTGTCCACGTCATCAGTTACTGTCCACGTCATCAGTCACTGTCCACGTCATCAGTCACTGTCCACGTCATCAGTCACTGTCCACGTCATCAGTCACTGTTCACGTCTTCCGTCACTGTCCACGTCATCAGTCACTGTCCACGTCATCAGTCACTGTCCACGTCATCAGTTACTGTCCACGTCATCAGTCACTGTCCACGTCATCAGTCACTGTCCACGTCATCAGTCACTGTCCACGTCATCAGTCACTGTCCACGTCATCAGTCACTGTCCACGTCATCCGTCACTGTCCACGTCATCAGTCACTGTCCACGTCATCAGTCACAACTGCTTACTTACATCCTGTGATCCGTCACTGTCCACGTCATCAGTCACTGTCCACGTCATCAGTCACTGTCCACGTCATCAGTCACTGTCCACGTCATCAGTCACTGTCCACGTCATCCGTCACTTTCCACGTCATCAGTCACTGTCCACGTCATCAGTCACTGTCCACGTCATCAGTTACTGTCCACGTCATCATCACTGTCCACGTCATCAGTCACTGTCCACGTCATCAGTCACTGTCCACGTCATCAGTCACTGTCCACGTCATCCGTCACTGTCCACGTCATCAGTCACTGTCCACGTCATCAGTCACTGTCCACGTCATCAGTTACTGTCCACGTCATCAGTCACTGTCCACGTCATCAGCCCACTGTCCACGTCATCAGTCACTGTCCACGTCATCACTGTCCACGTCATCAGTCACTGTCCACGTCATCAGTCACTGTCCACGTCATCAGTTACTGTCCACGTCATCAGTCACTGTCCACGTCATCCGTCACTGTCCACGTCATCAGTCACTGTCCACGTCATCAGTCACTGTCCACGTCATCAGTTACTGTCCACGTTCATCAGTCACTGGTCCACGTCATCAGTCACTGTCCACGTCATCAGTCACTGTCCACGTCATCAGTCACTGTTCACGTCATCCGTCACTGTCCACGTCATCAGTCACTGTCCACGTCATCAGTCACTGTCCACGTCATCAGTTACTGTCCACGTCATCAGTCACTGTCCACGTCATCAGTCACTGTCCACGTCATCAGTCACTGTCCACGTCATCAGTCACTGTCCACGTCATCAGTCACTGTCCACGTCATCCGTCACTGTCCACGTCATCAGTCACTGTCCACGTCATCAGTCACAACTGCTTACTTACATCCTGTGATCCGTCACTGTCCACGTCATCAGTCACTGTCCACGTCATCAGTCACTGTCCACGTCATCAGTCACTGTCCACGTCATCAGTCACTGTCCACGTCATCAGTCACTGTCCACGTCATCCGTCACTGTCCACGTCATCAGTCACTGTCCACGTCATCAGTCACAACTGCTTACTTACATCCTGTGATCCGTCACTGTCCACGTCATCAGTCACTGTCCACGTCATCAGTCACTGTCCACGTCATCAGTCACTGTCCACGTCATCAGTCACTGTCCACGTCATCCGTCACTGTCCACGTCATCAGTCACTGTCCACGTCATCAGTCACAACTGCTTACTTACATCCTGTGATCCGTCACTGTCCACGTCATCAGTCACTGTCCACGTCATCAGTCACTGTCCACGTCATCAGTCACTGTCCACGTCATCAGTTACTGTCCACGTCATCAGTCACTGTCCACGTCATCAGTCACTGTCCACGTCATCAGTCACTGTTCACGTCATCCGTCACTGTCCACGTCATCAGTCACTGTCCACGTCATCCGTCACTGTCCACGTCATCAGTCACTGTCCACGTCATCAGTCACTGTCCACGTCATCCGTCACTGTCCACGTCATCAGTCACTGTCCACGTCATCCGTCACTGTCCACGTCATCAGTCACTGTCCACGTCATCAGTCACTGTCCACGTCATCCGTCACTGTCCACGTCATCAGTCACTGTCCACGTCATCCGTCACTGTCCACGTCTTCCGTCACTGTCCACGTCATCATTCACAACTGCTTACTTACATCCTGTCATCCGTCACTGTCCACGTCATCAGTCACTGTCCACGTCATCAGTCACTGTCCACGTCATCAGTCACTGTCCACGTCATCCGTCACTGTCCACGTCATCAGTCACTGTCCACGTCATCCGTCACTGTCCACGTCATCAGTCACTGTCCACGTCATCAGTCACTGTCCACGTCATCCGTCACTGTCCACGTCATCAGTCACTGTCCACGTCATCCGTCACTGTCCACGTCTTCAGTCACTGTCCACGTCATCAGTCACAACTGCTTACTTACATCCTGTCATCCGTCACTGTCCACGTCATCAGTCACTGTCCACGTCATCAGTCACTGTCCACGTCATCAGTCACTGTCCACGTCATCCGTCACTGTCCACATCATCAGTCACTGTCCACGTCATCCGTCACTGTCCACGTCATCAGTCACTGTCCACGTCATCAGTCACTGTCCACGTCATCAGTCACTGTCCACGTCATCAGTCACTGTCCACGTCATCAGTCACTGTCCACGTCATCAGTCACAGTTTTGGTCACCGTATTACAGAATGGATATAAATTCTCTGGAAAATGTACAAAGGAGGATGACAAAGATGATCCC